ATTTTTAAATAAAAGTTTTATCGCGGCCACTATGACCCACATTTATGCTAAAAAACCATCAATTTTCATTTTTTGGTAAAAAAACCACCCATAAATTGATGGTTAAACCAAATTTTTTCGAAAATATAGTGTGTTTTCGTAATTAAAACCGGATCTAATAGGTAACAGTGGTTGCGTTGCAACGTTTTACCAAAAAATTGTGGTTTTTTCATAACTTTTTAAAAAAATTGGTTAAGTCGGATTTTTGGGAAAATATAGTGTTTCTTTCGTCATTTCCCTCACAAATGTGTATTGATTTGACTAAATCCATTTCTCGTAGTTTATCTATGAACGTGGTAACATTTCTCAAATATCCCTGAATCTGCTTTTTATCATGAGGCTAAAAGGGTTCCTCAATGGGAAATTATCATGCAGAACGAACTCGATTCCTAAATGCTAATCTTATTTAGGATTTGCTAAAACTTCCAAAAGGAAAAAAGGACATAGCTTGCAGATAGGTTTATGAAACAAAATATCAAGTAGGTGGAACGATTAAACGGCGTAAAACTCATCTTGTAACCATGGGATTTACACAACTATCTTTTTATTCTTTATGATTTGTATGAAGAATTATATATGCACGTTCCACCGACACTACTATCTTTTTATCAAAAATATATCAAAGTCCATTGTCATGGTAGTAATTTATGTGGATGATATACTTGTTACTAAAAATGATGATGCTAAAATCATAAGCCTTAAAGCTTATTTACATGATCAATTTTGGATTATAGATCTAGGCTACATCAATTGATTTTAACAAAGTTGATAATGGTATTGCTGTTCATCAACATAAATTCATTAAAGAACTCCTTCAGTTATATCATAGAACTAAGTCTATGCTTGTTAAAACACGTTTCCATTAAAGATTCATCTTTTACCTGTCATGGATAACCTATTAACTGATCCAACTATATATCAACAACTAATCAGGAAACTCAATTTTCTTCTACATACTAAGCCAAATATTTCCTACTCGGTTCAATATCTTAGGCGGTTGACAATCATCTCAAATGTGGTCTCTTAATCTCGCTGGAGCTCGCAGATTTGGAGGAGCTAGTAAATGGTAGATTTAGAGGCAGAAATTGTAGATCTGTCATCATAGATCTATCTTTGGAGATTGTAGATCTATCTTTGAAGATCGTAGATCTGGACCGAAACACTTCAAATATGAGAGCTTCATTGATGATGTCGCAAGTCTGGTGTTCCGCCTAGGGTTCTAGAACGGGAGGCATAAGAAGGAACAGTGCTTCTTCATTGATGAAGGTGAAATCGTCGGAGAAGTTAAACATGGTGGTAGATTACAATTGTGGTGTCTTTGATGAAGGTGAAACCGTCGGAGAAGTTAAAGATGGTGGTAGATTACAATTGTGGTGTCTGAGGAAGCCCATTTTATTGCAAAAAAGTGTGGTATACCATTGGTTATCAAAGGTGGTGCAGGTGGAAACACCAATGGCTCAAAATCACAGAAGAACACTAGAGACGAGAGATTGGAGTTGTCAAAAGTCGCATTCACTTAGATCTAAACAGATCTAAACAAGGAACACCACTACACACAAGAAAAAACCATCAAAATCACGAAGATCTAACAAGATCCTAGCAAGAAACACAAAGGAAAGTCATACATATGAATCACAATCTGTTGGATATCAAATATATATGAAGTAGTTTCTGGTTCGAGTCGAGCTTGTAGATCTATGAGTATACAAGACACAACGAAAAAGTTTTGACGACGGTGACGGTGCTTAGGGCTGTTCACTATTTGGTTAAAACCGAATCGTCCAATTGGACAATTTGGATGGACTATTTGATTCGGATATTTGGATTTTTTGGATTGATTTTAAGTTAAACCGAAGTATTATTTTGGATTTCGGTTGGTTTTGATTTATAAAATAAAAACCGAATAGTCCAAAACACCGAATAACAATTTATTACTTATTTTTAATATATATCTTTAATCATTTATAAATTTACGAAATTATGTTTTTAATTATTATAAACTTTCATCCAATATAATACATTAATATGTACTTCTTATCAAAAAAAATTTGTCGCTGTATTAATTATAATTAATTTTTCTTAATAGTTCTTTATAAATTATAACTCATAACTAAAAAGTTTTTTTAGTTACTTTTATAAAATTGGCTAATATTTAAGTAATATACTTTTGAAAATGTTTTACCTCTTAAAAACCGAATTGTAAAAACCGATCCAACCGAGTTGTAATTTAGTTGGATCTGATCGGATTTGAATTTAGATTGGACTATTCAGATCTATGTTTTGAAAACCGAAATCTATTTGGATTTACTTGATTGGATCGGATAAAACTGATCCATCCAAACGAACACCCCTAACGGTGGTGGTGACGTATGTGGTGTTAGGGTTTGTGTCCTCTTGAAGATGGATGGGAAAGACTGAGGTTCTTTTTTCTTTTCTAAAAAACCACTTATTGTTGCACCGCGCAGCACACGCATAACTCTTGGCCCTTCAGAGCTTTTTGTTTTTCAGAAGACTTCTGACTTAAAAACTGTTGCACATGTGCAACGTGCCGCAACACTTGACCCTCTTCTTCAAACTTCTTCACAACTTACTTTAACTTATTGCAGCAATCTACAGAGGTTAAAAAAACAAACAAACTTTTTATTACATGTTGTAGCCTACAAAGGGTTGCAGAAGTGGTCCGCAGACTTCAGGCATTTTCGCTTCAAAAAAAAACAAACGGCACCTGAGAGAAGTTGAACGAGTTTTATAGATCTAAATGTTATAATGTTGTTGAAGATTATACTTATATTGTAATTATATTTCTAATGTCCATATCTTTTGAAAATCCAAATATTTTGTTGTACATATATTGCATTACATGATATGCATAATATATGCACATGTCATATATATGCATACATTTTTTTCGAAATTTGTTTTATTTCTTTTTCTAAATATCCACATTTTAAATTGCATAATTTTTTTTGAACAAAATCTATAACAAAACATTTTTCGGGTTATTACAAATATATGGGTTCTCATATATATATATATATATATATATATATATATATATATATATATATATAGATATAGGAGGGTTCAATTGAGAAAAAAAAAGGTTGAGAATGGGGGAACCATTCTCAGCCAATCATTTAATGAGCTTAAAAAACGCACGGTGGCAAACTTGTAAATCATCCAAATACATTAATGAGCGGTGGCAAATTTGTCTTGGACTCCATCAATATCTTCGTCTCTAATCTACACATCACCACTACATCTCTCATCCTACCTCATAAGCAACCGTGAATCTGGGTCACGAAATCCACTTGATGGCGACGATCTGGCACCGCCGTCAGAGGAGACGATTTAGCACCACCATTGCAGATCCAACTCCGATTAGGGTTATCGTCACCATCTCAGACAACGGCGACCTCGAACTTCATCTTTGTCCTTCTCCGACGACCGCTAAGAGAAAATAACCAGCGTTACAGGGATCGATTTCCATGGCAACCACTAGTGTAATGGGAACAAAATGTGAAGTTGGAGTAGGAGCAGATGACGGCGCCGGTGATGAAAAACCACCACATTGTAGCTTCCTACAATCAACAGGACCAACATTTCTAGAGGAACACTCCCCCACCAGCCAAAGTATCATGTTTTTAACATTTTTAAAAAAGTTAACTTGTATGCACTCCAACTGTTTGATAAAATGCATAAACTAAATGACCACGTTATATTCACATATGAATATGTTTTTTCACCTGAATCAGTATATGATTATTAAAACAAAAAAATATGCAAGTCTGTATGTTATTCATATGTGAATAACATATAAAAATTATATATATTTGTGAAAACACCTTGTAATATTCATATGTGAATATATTGTGTAATATTCATATGTGAATATATTGTGTAATATTCATAAGTGAATATATCATCTAATATCCACAAGTGAATATACTATGTAATACCCACATGTGATATACCATGTAATACTATGTAATATTTACATATGAAAATATCATATAATATTCATAAGTGAATATATCATCTAATATTCACAATTGAATATACTATGTAATATTCACAAGTGAATGCATCGTCTAATATTTAAATATGATTATGCTAGGTTTATTATATGCTATATTCATATATGAATGATATTTAAATTGTAAAAAAAAAATTAATTAATCATATTTTTTATTCATAAGTGAAAAACCTGATCATTTTTATTCACTTATGAATAAAGATAACTGAAAATATAAAAAAAACATTTTTTTTATTTTATCTTAAAACTATATATCAATATGGATGTTTATTTGTAGAGAATAATAAATCATGAATTTTGGTATATTTAAAATCATTTTTCGATAAAAATAGTTTCTTAAAAATTAAAAAAAAAAACGAAAAAAACTATATTTTGTATATATTAAGGTAATGATTAGCATAGTTTAAGGAAACATGTTTTGTTGGAAAACACATGTCTATTCCTTTTCCATTTCCGCTGGTACGACGGAGGTTTTTGCGGCAAAAATAAACGAGTGGCTGAGAATGATTCCCCCATTCTCAATCTTTTTTATTTTCTCAATTGAACTTACCTCTCTCTCTCTTTATATATATATATATATATATATATATATATATATATATATATATATATATATATATATATATATATATATATAATTCATGACTATTTTGCATATTATTTGATTATATCAAATATCAAAAAATAGTAAAAAGTTAAACATCTAAATATATGAATCAGTTGCAATAGTAAAAAAACTTGCAAAAAAGTATTCAAATAGTAAACATTTTATAGTAGTTTACTAGAATTTTCACCAACTCCAAAAAGTTAATTGGTGCAACGCAATTCATTAAAACAAACCATAGACCAACTTACCAAAACCTTGTAACTCGACACATAAGGCATAACCACATGACTAACATATGTTGCAAACAAAAACCTGAATCTAATCTGAAAAGAAAAGCTTGTAAGCAATCTTGTACGAAGCATAGGCATCGATACATCCATACTCAACTTGATTTTCATTTAAAACTCTTGCCTCCCAGTTACTCATGCAGACATGCTTCGGCTTTTTCATGTGAATCCCTGCAACTTCCATAGCCAGATCCTTCAAACCTGGTCGTCGAAACCTTCCAGGCCATTTCTTTTTCGCCTCTTCACGAATATCTGCACTTTTAGCACAATCCAACCCATACTCATTCTTCAGCTTTGATATATCTCCCTCAACCTCAATACCCACAAAAGTGAACTTAGGGTTCAGAAGAAAACTCTTTAGGGACAGTGGGATTTCATCCATGTAAAACAGTTGAAGGATTAAACACTTGGTGTCGATGCACAGTTGGAGGGTGGCAGATTTGTTGCTCATGTAGCTGATATGGTGAGGACGCCATTCAACATCCAGACCTACCACCATGCTTGGGTGGTTCGCATAGAGCATGACGATTTCGTCCACCCATTCCTCGGCGGCGGCAGCTTTATCAGTGACAGTTGTTACAATGGTTTTGTGGTCGTACTTGACATGATACTTGGAGGATGTATAGTCGTATGTTATAGTCGGATTGGTGCTTTGAAAAGCCATGGCTACTGATCGTTGTGGTAAGAAGAAAGGGCAAAGCACTAGAATAGATTTTAATTGAACGGTGAAGCAATGTCAATTTATATGGGGTAAAATATCTTGGAAATTATATTTTTATTTATAACGTATTAATTTTTATTTTGTTCAACCATGATTCATCATGACTTTATGTTAGGTTTTAAAGTGAAAAACTCAACCTTTGGTAAATTTATTATTTTTATATAAATTTTTCGAACTTGTGTTAATTTATTATCTTTTTAATATTTATAGAAAAATAAAAAGTATAAGAAAATATTACAAGTTTTATCTATAACTAGGTTTTCGTATACTAGGTTTTTTTTTCATATATTTGAAATAAAAATTGTTTGAAATGAGTAGTGTATACGTCACATATTTTGTCTTTAAATATCTATCTTTTTAATGTTTTAATATATTATTCTCATTTGTTACATGCATAGGGACTAATTAGATTAATGTGAAGTAAATATGATACACATTTAAAACAGAATATAATTTAGCATGATACACATGCATTTGATGGTATCCTACAGGCTATAGTTGATTTTTCAGTCCTATTTTCAATTTTTATATAATGCGAATTTCATTTTTGTTATTGGCGGTTTAAAATTTTTATTAGCTAAAAAAAGAACTTAGATTAAGAACGTAGTTTAATTGAATAAACCAAACATCTTATATAATTAATAATAGATGGGGATACCAATAGAATCACGAATTTATATTCATCTTGTAAGTTACAAGATGTTTGGAATTCCCATGAATCCTATCAGTCAATAGACTTTTTGGATTTCCACACGTATTGATAACGGCTACAACAAGCAATGACACAGAGGAAGGGTGAATGATAGTGCTTTCTATATATACTGATGATGAACTTGAACTTGAATCAGGTTCATGGACTTTTTAATGTCAGTATCAACAATATTTAAATTATTGTGTCAAATATGGCTTAAACTAAAAAAAAAAAAAAAACAAAAATCATTTACTCCGAATAAAAGTTTTCACTTTAATGTTACTTATTAATCTAGTCTTTATGGAAAAATTATGTAAAAGACTTAAAATCTAAAATAAATATCATTGTTTTCATAATTAAAAAACTATATTATGTCCAATTTTTGTTGGCAAAATTAGACTAGTTTCACATCTTAGATTGAAAAAATAAATAAATAAATAAACAAACCAAAAAACATATAAAGTTGTATACAAATCAAGGGAATCGACCCTCAAAGTTTGAAATTATTTATTATTTTGAGTAATGCATATAAATGGCTCTGTTTATGAATCAAGTCTTGTGAGAAACTCTGTTATCGATCGGATTACAAGGAGTGGGTTCTCTATATGAACAGCATGGCCACAATTAGGAACCTCAACCACTCTACTCTTGCCAAGTGTCACGCACATCCTCTCACCAATCTTCTTAAATTTCTCATCTCTCTCACCAACAATAACCACAACAGGGGATTTCACATGCTTTAGATCTTCCCACAATGACCTATCATCAAAACTCATAATTAATCATATACCAAAACAATAAGTGCATTATTTATTTATTTATGAATATATATATATATATATTGATCAAACATACGGCTGTCTTCCTGTGCTCAAGTCAGAGAGTGTTTTTGCAAGACCTGACACGTCATCATGTTTTGACCGGTCAGCAACTATTTGCTCAAATTGTGGATGGCTTCTTAAGCTGCGTCATGCATAAATTTATAAACTCAAACTAACTATAATTTTTTTTTTATTTTTTTTTAAATATTAAATTACCTTTCCCACATCTCTCCAGAATACCATGTCTCAATGAATAATTCAACACCATATGAAACAAGTGCACATGCTAAAGCATCGTCTTTAACACTTCTAGCCTTTCTTTTTGCCACGTCATCCAATCCAGGGCTTCCAGATATCATCACTACACCTTTTACCATATTGTTGAATTTTAAAGCCATGTATAAAGTGATCCTTGCTCCCATGGAGTATCCGACAAGTGTCACTTTTTTAGGGGTTAGAACACGGAACAGTTTCTGTAGCATGTCTGCAACTACCTTCATTGAAAGCTCAACTCCTTGTGCCACGTCATCAATCTTTGAACAACCATGACCAGGGAGGTCGATTGCGATACATCTAGAACATGCTGACATGGCGTTCATGATGGGAATCCAATCTTCACTACTCCCAAGGAATCCATGAAGAAATACAATAACATTATCCTACATTAAAAAAAAAAAAAAAAAAAAAAAAAAAAAAAAAAAACATCATATACTTCTGCTAAAACAAATTAAATTATAAAATTTCTTACATTTTTTTCGTCTCCAACCTCATTCACATTGATGGAAAATGTGATACCCTCAACATCCACCTTTTGTGTATAATTCCGTAGTTTCTCACTCTCAAAACTCCGGAATACCGAATTCCGATTGATTTTGAAGTTGGTCAAAGTTTGACCGGCATCAAAAACAGAAGCTTGACTTTTCGTAAAACACAATGACTCGGTGATGATGACATCATCTTTGAGCCACTTGTATGTTCCAAGGCCATGTGCCACATCAGATACAATTTCCTTATTCATTATTTTGCAAATATCTTTATTTTTCATTTCAAGAAAAAAAGAAAATTGAACATAAGCTGACAAAGATATTCCACTTTCAAATGCAGCACTGACAACAGCTACTTTTCCATGCTGGTGGGCCCACCTTGCAATGAATGCAGCCTTCTCAAATCCACCAACAAAGCTTGGTTTAATTACCTGAAAAGTGGCAATTAAATAAATTACTTAATTAATATGTAACAATTAATCATTAATCATTTACTTACAACAGCAACAATTTTGTCATGTGTGAATCTTGAAAGAGCTTGAAGAGGATTTTCTTGAAGATTGTCAATGGTTTCATCTAGGGCTACAGGTATTCCACTTTCTTCACAAAATTTAATTATATCATCTTCATCATTCACAGGCTCCTGAAATTTGGAAAGTAGATTTTTATATTTTTATTATAAACATTATCATCAACCAAGAATAAAATAATAAATAATAAACACCTCAATATATTGAAGTTCACATTCCTTCACATAAGAACCAAATTGAAGAGCATCATTAAAGGACCATTTTTGATTTGCATCAACACGAAGTTGAATATGGAAACCAATTTTCTTCCTTACTTCTTGTATGACTTCAGCATCTTCAATAGGATGGGCCCTACGTGCCACCTGTCATTTTATTATAGAAAATGGGAAATGGAAATTACTTACTTTCATATGATAGTAGAAACAAAACAAGAACAAATTTTTGCTTACTTTTAGTTTGATTGTAGTGAAACCTTCTTCAACAAGTTTGGATGCAAGATAAGCGACTTCTGAAGGAGTTCCATTAGAGTCAAGAAGGGCACAAATTGTAATATTTGATGACTTTTGAGGACTTTCTTGTTTGGGTGCTGAAGGGTGAAGGATATTTAACATAGTAGAAGAACAACCTTGTACTGAAGCTATAGCATTAAGAATCGCCATTTCCAAACCACATCTAACACTTGGAAGAATAGAATCTGGCTAAATATCATTAAAAAAAAAATTCAAGACTTTTAACAAACTTTGTAAAAAAAAAAATTTACTGGAGGAAAATGGTTGTACATACTGGGATTCCTAAATTGGTCCATATCCATGAAGAGAAAGATCCATTTAGAAGAGGAAGAGATGAATGTAAAGTGGCTCCTTTTATAACATGAGTAAGAAACTGAAGTTGCTCTTGTGCATCTTGAAGAGTTCCCTTGTGGGTCCCAAGTGGTGCCACCTGTCATTGTGAACAATAAATAAATAAAATAATGAAAAACTTTAAATAGAAAAAGATAAAATTTACCTCTCCAATTCCAGTACTTCCATCTTCAAGATACAAAGTTAGCACAAATCCTTCTCGATAATTGTCATTAACAACAGTAGTTGTCAATGGAGCACAGAGTTGAATTCTGTCATAACATGATAATAATTTGTACATTATAAATTTATAATAAATCTTTATAGATGATAGATCCATTTTTTTAGTAAAAAGCTGACCTGTATTGAAAAAACTCCAGTTTATGAACTTTAATTGAATTGAGAACTGATAGCTGTGAAATAATGGATAAAGAATTCCCTGCTGCTTGACATGAAAATTGTCTTAAATTACTATGAAAATTTTTATTGGCATCAATGGAGCTCTCAACTTCTATAACACAATCACTTTCTTCATGTTGAGAATTTAACAGAGCCTTTTGGAGCTCGGATTTTGTGCTGACATGTACATGCTTTACACTTGATGTGAATAATAAATAATCTCAAATTAGCAATCAGAAGTGATGATGAAATATGAATTGATGAATGATGATCATTACCCATGTGCAATACATAAGTTGTGAATTCCAACATCATGAGATGTGTAAAAATATTGATTCAGTATTTTTTCTTCAGCTTTATTTGCAATGGGTAGAAGACTAAAAATCGCACCCCCATGGTTGTTGATCACAATTATTGTCATCTGTTTTCTTGAAATCCTTCAAAAAAAAACAAGAAATTTAGCAAACACATAAATATAAATATAAACAGAATTCAAAAATCTGAGAAATATATAATTTGTACCTTTGTTTCAAAAGTGCTAATCCATTAGTATCATGTAAAAAGGAAACATCTCCAATCACACAAAAAACCTGAATCCAAAATTGTAGAAAACATTAAATATAAAAAAGAAAAAAATAAATAAAAAAAACCAGATACTATACTCACTTTTTTGTTGTGGCCTACAGCAAAACCAATAGCAGTACTGAGTAAACCATCGATACCACTAGCACCTCTGTTTCCAGCCACCTGTATCCAGGAGAATGGAAAACCTGAGGGTAATTTGGTAATTTTACCATAACTACCCTTTCCATGACTACTTCCATACATATCTGCATCGCGTATTGGCATGCTATTTCCTATGAACATTGTAGATCCAAATTCAACAGATTCTGAAGTTA